CGCCACGGCTATTTTCCATCTGTTTCTCATCTCCATTGCAAACAGGGTACGTGATGTGATTTTCTCTAGCCACAGTGCACACCAAGGGCATAAAAATGGGGTAGTTCGATTGGATTTATGTAGGGCCTAGGGCCTGTAATCGTGCTGGTGGTAGAGTATTCACTGGAAAGAAAAGGAAGCAACAAATGTCGAGGTTACTGATAAGAGAGCGGTTGACTGGAGAGAGGAGTGGGAATGGGAAATGATTGATAGGTTTGAGGACGGGAATCCTCTAAGTAGAGATGTTATAGAATAATGAACTTAAGGCTAAAAGCATAGAATATTTTGGTCAAGTCAGATGTCTAAATTTAATGCTGCAGAGGTAGAAGCTCCCCATTAGAATCAGGTTTGTGAATATGTGTGGCTGAAGTGGAATGGGGATTAAAGATATTTAAATCAAAGAGGTCAAGGAACGGCTGGTGCCAGTGTTTGATGAGCATTCATATACTGAGTGGCAAGATGCCAGGGGCTTAAGTGAAGGAGATGAATTGGGGAGGATGGTAGCTGGCCACAAGGAGTGGAGAGGACAATCGTAATAGCAAACATTTACTGAGTGCTACTTGTCAAGCATGAGTACTTTATGTTGGTTCCTTTATTTTTGCTTATAGGATAGGTACAAATGTCTTTTTTTTTTTTGCAGATTTTGGCCAGGGCTGGGTTTGAACCCACCACCTCCGGCATATGTGGCTGGCACCCTACTCCTTGAGCCACAGGTGCCGCCCGCCTTTTTTTTTTTTTTTTTACAGAAGAGACATAATGCAATTAGGTAACTTGTCCAAGGTCACACAAGCTACTAGGTAGTTTAACCAAGATTTAAATTCAAGTTATCTGGGTCTAAAGATCATTAACCACTACACTCTCCTGTCTTGTTGTCACTTGGACAGCACATGTCTTTAGCAACGGAGACTTTATAGGAAGATAGAACAGCAGTGATCTGAAGACTGACCCCACATCCTAATTGAGGTACTGGGTGTGGGAGAGTGAGTCTTTCTTTTGTGAGACTGAAAAACAACCAGTTCTTTTGCAACAAGTCAGCCAAGGAAGTAGATTGGATCAAACATGTGGGGCATTTGTCTTATAAGACAGAGTAGTACAATTAGTGAATAAACCTGGGATGGAATTAAGACCGAAGAGAAATTGGAAGAGAAAAGAGAAATTCTAAAGCAGAAAGGGAGTGAGAGTCCTGGAGAAGGCTTTTTAGTTGGATGGTGAGTATGGATGTCAGGTCATGTCATGTACAAAGATGTCCATGCAAGTTTCCAGGAAATATACCTGGTAGGTCTCTCTGGAAGAAGTTAGTCTAGGCTAGTGGGCTAGTCTAGGCTTTGGGTGGGCTTCTAGACCATGTGAATTGATCATTGAATTCCCAGAATCCTCACCACTTACTTAGCTGCTACCGCAATTATAGAAGATAGGGAAATTTAGGCCTTTCTGGAAAATGTCAGCAGTGACCCTTAGAAATATGACTCCATTTTAAATAATGGAATTTTGAAATAGTTTCATTTGAAATAGAAATTGCATGTATATCAGCTCTCGATTTCTCCAATGTCTATGTCTACATAACATCCCATTCTGACAATAGACCATTCTCCCCGCTCCCTGTACATACATCTCCCACCACACATTACCCAGTCTGGGTCAATCATAAGCTATTAGTCCATTCACTCCTGGCCACAGTGAGTAATCCAGTTGATGAGGATGTGATGCAAGCCTAGCCAGTTTCCCCAGAGATCTCTCAAGCTGAGCCCAGAAAAGAGAATTTCTTTAGCTGAAAGTCTGTGGTACTAAAGCTGCCTGAGGCACTGTTTGCTATTCCCTGAAAAAGAGAGACAGCATCTGAGTTCCTAGTGCAAGCCTGCAAGTCCCTAAAGTAATCTCGTTTTCTTCTTCAATTCTTTGTGTTCAACTAGTATATTTCCAATAATTTCCCCTCTTTGGGTTTATTTCCAGTTGGGTTCTGGAAAAAAAAAAAAACTGGAAAAAAAAGTTCAAGAAAATGCCTTCACTTTAAGAAAATTCTTTGCCTAAAAATCACATGGCTCAAAAGCTTTTCAAACCTGAATTCACTAAGATTCAGATTGCCTACGTTTTATAATGCATGAAACTCACACTTAGCCTTCTTCTTGTAGCCAAGTGAGATTTATGATTTATTCCATTTTTCAGAGAAAAATGTGACGTGAAATTCCTTTGGACTTCTGGGGCAGAATGGACATGCTCTGCATAGATGCAAGAAAGATGAATAATTCTATTGTCCATTCTGGTATTTTGAAGGTGAGGGATCAGGGGATGGGAGAAGGCAGGCAGTCCTGGTCCTAGAGGGAGATACCAGAGCCAATTTTGTTAGTGCTCCAGGGCTGGCTGGATGTCAGACGATGGTTGAACAGGTAACTAAAGGAAAAGCTGATAGTTCATACCGTAACACCAGAAGAGGGTTTGCATTTCTGCTACCGTGTGTTCCTGGCCAATCTTGGAAGTGTGCCTCTACCTAGCTCACCTTGGCCTTCTGCAAGGTCAGAGCAGAGGGGAGAGGGAATAAAGGCTAAGCACTCCCATAAAGATTTAGGGAGACAATGCAAAGGGTATTTCCGTAGGTAAGTCTTTCTAGCTGACCAGAGGGTAGGACATTCTAGTATCTGTTTGTGGAAAGAGGGAAGCACTCCAGGTGTTTTCAGCGATATTTATTAGACATTTGTTGTAAGATCCCATGTTCGCCTATCACCCATGCTTCCTTGAACCTACATCAAATCAGTGCTTGTTTTGAGAAGGGTAGGCTGGTTAGATCTTAAGGGACAGTAATGCTTCATTGTTACAAAAAGTCTCTGAGAAAAACCTTTTAAGAATAAATGTTGGTTACGGCACCAGCCACATATACTGAGGGAGCCGGATTTATACTGGCAGCAACTACAACAAAAAATAGCCGGATGTTGTGGCAGGCGCCTGTAGTCCCAGCTACCTGGAAGGCTGAGACAAGAGAATCGCTTAAGCCCAAGAGTTTGAGGTTGTTATGAGCTGGGACACCATGGCACTCTACCAAGGGCGACATAGTGAAACTCTTTTTATAAAAAAAAAAAAAAAAAAAAAAAGAAGAAGAAGAATAAATGTTAACCTATCTTTAAAGCTTTTCAACTATTTTTTTTAAAAATAAAAATTCTACTCTTACCAGAGATGCTGGCTTGGATGTGGAGAAAAGGGAACACTTCTACCCTGCTGGTGGGAATGTAAACTGATACATCCCTTTTGAAAGATGTTTGGAGCACACATAGAGAACTAAAAATAGACCTGCCATTTGATCCTATAATTCCTCTACTAGGTATATATCCAGAAGACCAAAAATCACACTACAACAAAGATATTTGTACCAGAATGTTTATTGCAGCCCAATTCATAATTGCTAAATCATGGAAGAAGTCCAAGTGCCCATTGATCCACGAATGGATCAATAAATTGTGGCATATCTACACCATGGAATATTATACAGCCTTAAAGAAAGATGGAGACTTTACCTCCTTCATGTTTACATGGATGGAGCTGGAACTTATTCTTCTTAGCAAAGTATCTCAAGAATGGAAGAAAAAGTATCCAATGTACTTAGGCCTACTATGAAACTAATTTATAGTTTTCATGTGAAAGCTATAGCCCAATTATAGCCCAAGAATATGGGGAAGGGGGAGAGGGAGGGGAGGGAAGGAGGGAGGAAGGGTGGAGGGAGGGCGATTGGTGTGACCACACCTATGGTCTATCTTACAAGGGTACATGTGAATCTTTCTAAATGTAGAATATAAATGTCTTAACACAATAATTAAGAAAATGACATGAAGGCTATGTTAACCAGTTTGATGAAAATATTTCAGATTATATATAAAACCAGCACACTGTACCCCATGATTGCATTAATGTACACAGCTATGATTTAATTAAAAAAAATATATACATATAAATAAAAAATAAAATAACACACAAAAAATTCTACTCTTAATAACATAACCAAAGCTTCTCACTTAGAGAAATGATGCCCAAAGTTCCGGTAAAGACTCTAGAGAAATATTAGCCCAGCAGTTCATTAGCCTTGTTAGGGATTATAAGAATTTATAGATTTTAGGATTCCTAATATATTTTCCTAATATATATTCCTAATCTATTTCAAATAATAAGTCACACTAATTTTCAAATACAATTTAAATCATATAATTTATTTTAAGGATTTTTACAAAATACTTTATGAAAATTTTACATACATAGGAAGTACAGTATAATTGAACAACTCATCCTAATTAAAACTTTATTGAAAAACTCCTCTGTGACTAATATTATACTTTTTGAATATAGTGAAGTTATAATAAAAACAATCATACATATGCAGGGTGTTTTTTAAAACACAATTCTTACAAAATAAAGGTTTGAGACCTATTTTAAAATAGATTAAGTCAAAATAAGCCAAGAACTGAATACCACCTATGGCCAATGGGTGGCACCAAAGTACATTTGAGACTTCAGTTACATCACTTTAGAAAAAGGGATAAACTGCTTCTCTATGCAGAAATATATGCAGTAAATTCAGTGTCATTGTCCTAACATGGAATTAACATTAGGGGGTACATAGCTTTCTTATGGTCCAATTCTTTATCACTGATGTTCTGCCTTTCCTCACCTGTCACTTTACTACAACGTACCATATTTACAAGTTAGGAGTTACAAGTTACCCGCAAGGATTTTCAATGGCTCTCTTAACTGTCATACAAGACTGTGGTATGAAACACATGATGGCAAACCAGAATATTTTGCTTGTTAACAATACCCCACATTTAATATTTTTTGGCAGCTTTTTCTTTGAAGTGGCAGCAGCAGTTCAATTTTCCTAGCTTGCTCAAATATCTTCTTTAATGTTGGATTCACAAGTAAGTTATATATTTTGTCATTATTTAAGTCCTTTGGACCTTGAAATCAAAAAAGCACATGCAGACTGACTTTTACATGCTGTATAGTATTTCTTGGTGGCAATAGATAAAGTGAGGGTCTTTGTCCAGGTAGTCAGATTTTGAAGATCAGATCCCACTTGTTTAGTAGTTTTCAGTGGAGGAGCCACTGAATTTTGGGCTCATTTGGAAATCTTGGCAATCAAAAGCATTCTGAGAGGCAGTGTTGCTTCAATCCAAGTGTTGGGAGAATTTACCATCTTTTCCCAGAGAGCAACTTCCTCTGATGTCGAGTCCATCCAATCCACTTCAGTCCCATAGCTTCTACCTAAAAAAAGGAGGGAAGTTTTGCATTTAGACAGAAATAGCTCATTGGGGTAAAGTGGCCATTCCCTAATTATAATCACCCATGGAAGAATGTTAGGAAAAGTTTTAACATCATCAAGAGGGCAGATATGGGATTCATTATATGGAAAAGCTGTTCAACTATCTGAGTGACTCCATTATTGGGATCATTTTCGCAATTTCCAGAGTAATAATTCTCCTTACAATAATAAAAAAGCTAGATGACAATTCATCAGAGAATAGAGAAGTCGGGAAGATTCCTACACTGGGTTGGAATGACACTGGATGATCTCTAAGGAGCAAGCTAAGGCTTCAGTGTCTGATAGATCCAATTTTGAATCTTGTCTCTGCCACTCAGTAGCTCTGCTAGTTAATTTCTTGGAGTATCATTTCCTTTGGGAATAACATTAGTAACCTTGTAGAATTGTTGGGAGGATTAAATTAAATAATGCAAACTAAACATTTAATACAATGACTGGTGATCCATAACTGTTAGTTATTATTACTCAAAGCACACATTTAACTTTGAAGGATGATACCTGTTTGGAGGGTGGGGTGAAGGGGAGTAGTGTTAAAGGCTTCTCTCTCCTTGTCACCACAATAACTTAAGTTCTATATAGACAGACACTGAACCCTATTAATCCTCATATCTAGAGCCCTCAGCACACAGAGCCTATCATTTCTACACTTATTCATTTCATCATACTTAACAGAGATAGGATATCTATTTTCATTAGGAAGAAGCAGAGCAATAAACAACTTCTAGTGTCTCCAGAAAAATTTGGCTCCTGGAGAATTAAAAATGTAACAAATGGTACCTGTTCCAAAGCCAATCCGAAGACCTCCCAAAAACTGGTTGGTTAATTTGTAATGGTCCCAGACAGTAAGTTCTACACAAGCTTCCATCAGATCTTCAGGCCTGAAACCATCATACACCATGGTGTGGTTGAAGATAGGGTTGGTGGTTTTCCCTACAGCTCTTGTCTTCTGGCGACTTTTCCTACTTGTATCTGGAAGGATAGTACTACAAAAAAGGGCGGGGGGGAGCAGCATTATTGTGAGAGAATTTTAGTAAGATAGTGAAACTTTATGCTTTCAATATACATCAGCACAGGTACTAAATATTGGCATTAGAGGAGAAAGAGCGTGGAGCGAGAGTGGTGCTGGTGATGTGGCAGGGTGTGGGAATGGAAGGTGCACCATGCTGGACAGAGAGTGGGCTAGACTTGGTCTGAATCCTAATTCTCTCGTTTATTGGCTGTGCATTCTAGAGAAAGTTATTTAAACTGTCAGACACATGCTTCCTCATCTATAAAACAGGAATGGTGATGGTGACTTCATAAGGTTGAAACTGAAATTAAATAACTAAATAGCTGCATTTAGTAAGGCTTAATATAGTGGCAATTGCTTCAGGATTCCTTTAAAGTCTGGGAGAATGGCTCAGCGCCTGTGGCTCAAGCAGCTAAGGCGCCAGCCACATACACCTGAGCTGGCGGGTTTGAATCCAGCCCAGGTCCGACAAACAACAATGACGGCTGCAACCAAAAAATAGCTGGGCATTGTGGCAGGTGCCTGTAATCCCAGCTACTTGGGAGGTGGAGGCAGGAGACTCTCTTGAGCCCAGGAGTTGGAGGTTGCTGTGAGCTGTGATGCGATAGCACTCTACCCAGGGCGACAGCTTGAGGCTCTGTCTCAAAAACAAAGAAAAGTCTGGAAGCATGTTCTATTCCTAAATATTTGTGATAGCATAAGGAATTAGTGTTATGGGTGGTGCCTGTGGCTCAGTGAGTAGGGTGTCAGCCCCATATACCGAGGGTGGTGAGTTTAAACCCAACCCTGGCAAACCTGCAACAACAACAAAAAAATAATAAAAAAATAAAGTTTAAAAAAAAAAGGAATTAGTGTTATACAAAATTGAAACAGAAAAACCTCTCCAATTTGCGAGGGTTAGCTTTGGAAATAAATTATGATTTTTTTTATAATCACATTTCATTTATGAAAATATTTGAATGAATGTTCACCTACCATGCCTAGTATAAAGGTAAGAAGGCATGAGAATGGTCTCAGAATAGGAGACTGAGCTGAGTTGAAAATTCTTACCAGCTAACATCTATAAAGAGTATGTGAAAGGAAAATCATAAAGGAAAATCTATGCTATTTAGATATATGTCACATATTAACTAAATAGCCATTAACATAACCAGTCTTTTGGTAGAATTTATGTAGATAAAATTACTCAGGGGGAGCTAGTAGAACATACCATAATCTGTTTAGTTATTATTTACTAGATGCCAGTCACTTTATATGTCTTTTTTTTTTTGAGACAGAGCCTCCAGCTGTCACCCTGGGTAGAGTGCCCGGGCATCACAGCTCACAGTAACCTCCCACTCCTGGGCTCAAGCGATTTTCCTGCCTCCACCTCCCAAGTAGCTGGGACTACAGGTGCCTCCCACAACGCCTGGCTATTTTTTGGTTGCAGCCATCATTGTTATTTGGCGGGCCCAGGCTGGATTCAAACCTGCCAGCTCAGGTGTATGTGGCTGGCACCTTAGCCACTTGAGCCACCAGCGTGGAGCCCACTTTATATGTCTTAACAGAGAAAAGTTTTGTCATTTAAAAACCCCAACTATCTTAAGCTCTTAGGTGCTAACTCTTAGTAGGTTTAGCAAGCCATTTTCCAAATATCTACAGAAAGGTACAAAAGCCTTTTGCAAATGAGATACAAAGGCTTTTTGCAAATGGGCCACAAAATAGGTAGGACAAAGGAGAGGAGGAATTCTCCCTGCTCCATAAAAGAGCCAAGGGGTGGACATACTACCATTAGAAATTTAACAAACTCTTTGTACTGATTATTGCCCTCTGAACATTGAGAGGATTATTGTCCTCTCTAGAACATTATATAATGAAGTAAGAGGTCTCTAGTTTCATTTGTATATATGACTGCTTAGCTTTACGATGTTAAAACTAAGTGAAGCCTTGGCTGTTCATGATACTGATCCCTCTAATTCTTGTCTCCATTGTTCCAAGTATATTCATTTAAACTCAGCATCACAGATACAGAGAAGAGAAACCAACCGGCAAAGGTCAGGCTATAGTAGAACTAAAGAAGGCAGAGTCATCAATGTTATTACCATTTAACAAAAGAATTTAGATGGCTTCCCCGTAGCAGTGGTAAATCAAGGCACTCCTTCACCCAGATGTGTACTTCTCCAGTTGTAGGAAGCTTTTTACCTGTAACAGATAAAGCAGAGAAAAATGTTACTGCCAATTCTTTCTTGGCAATAGCGCATCCAAAGGTTCAGCCTACAAATGTTCTGGTACAAAGATACTAGCTAGTATTTGATGTTATTATCCTAACTGATTAGATCTATATATTCTTAACTACTATATAGTTCATAGTCTGGCTATACTGAGAGCAGATAGCTCTATAAATATAATTCATATTGATTTCAGGTACAGAGTATTACATCATTCTTTTTGGATTTTGTTTGGTTCAACAAAATCAAATATCAGGGATGTGAATCATCCATTTAGAGTTATATTCAAAACATTTTAATGAAATGCATATACCTTTCAAACATTAAAAACCAATATCAGTTGGTATTGGTGGAAGGCATTTTAAACATATTTGAGTGTAAAGTAACCAAAATAAGTATTGGTTGAAGTATAGCCATTTCTTGTTAAGACTGGTTATTTTATCTGGGTATTGCCTATTTAATAGTTAATGCTATAGATAGGGAATGCCAGACTTTTCTGGATGGGTTAGCACAATTAGTCAACCAAACAGTATTTAATGAGCTTCCATTATGTGCTGATCCCTATACTAGGAATGTTATTATACATACAAGGGATACAAGAAATAATCTGTGCCTTTGGGAAATATCTGCAGTTAAGCTGGAGAGACTAATTCAAATAAAACTATAAAAATGTAATATGCAAGTAAAATGAAACGACAAGTTATTGCTGCAGTGTTTTAGAAGATGATGTAATTGGTGAGGGCTAACACAGTCAGGAAAAGATTAATGGATAAGATGGGACCTTATTTAACATTTAGATAAGTTGAGGAGAAGAGGAAGCCATTCTAGGGAAGAAAAACTCAGACAAGATGGAGCCCATCACAACGCACGATCCCCTCAGCCCTTACCACGAAATGACAGAGGGAAAATGGGAAATGGGCTTGGCAGAATTTCTTTCTTGACTATAAACAACAGGATACAAATTACATGCAAAAGAATCTGCCTTTTAGGAAGATTCAGAAGTCACAAGATGATGGTCTGGCAGCAGTGTGGCCTAGAGAGATGATTTGCTTGCCCTCGATTTTCTTTTTAACTAAATTGGAATGCCTGTTTCTAATTCAGTCACTGCTCTCACCATCCATTATTTCTTTCATGTCACTAACTATACTGCCTGGTTACTGAGAGTATTTGGACTTGCAAACCCTGATTTTAGCCATAACTTCATACTCTTACTAAGGAGAATAACTTGAGGGACTTGCTTGGGAAATGGGGTAAGTGGCTTCCTGGTGTTTATTTTCTGCTGACTTTTTGCTTCTTAACTGAGCTGAAGACCAGAGTCCTGAACAACCAGAGTGCAATTAATAATCTTTTTATTTTTAATTTTTTTGAGATGGAGTTTTCCTTGGTCACCTTTGGTAGAATGCTATGGCATCTCTGGCTCACAGCAACCTCAAACTCTTGGGCTCAAACAAGCCTCCTGCCCCAGCCTCCCAAGTAGCCAAGACTACAGGCACCTGCCACAAAACCTGGCTATTTTTTGCTCTAGCTCAGGCTGGTCTCAAATTCATGAGCTCAGGCAATCCACCTGCCTCAGTCTTTCCAGAGTGCTGGGATTATAGGTGTGCACCACCATACCTGGCCTGAAAAAGTTTTATCTCCTGGCTTGGTACCTGTAGCTCAGTGGTTAGGGTGCTGGCCATATACACTGAGGCTGGTGGGTTTGAACCCGGCCTGGATCTGCTAAACAGCAACGACAACTACAACAAAAAAATAGCCAGGCATTGTGGTGGGTGCCTGTAGTCCCAGCTACTTGGCAGGCTGAGGCAAGAGAATTTCTTGGCCCAAGAGTTACAGGTTACTGTGAGCTGTGATGCCAAGGCACTCTACTGAGGGGGACAACATGAGAGACTGTCTCAAAAAAAAAAAAAAAAAAAAGCTTTATCTCCTAATAAGACACTGAGACTGGAAGACTAATGAGCTTGAAGTTCTTAATGATGTCATATGAATTCTAATTGCCACCTGTGGAAAAAAATATTCAAGTTCCATTCTTATTATAGCACTATCAATAGGCCCAATTCTGAATATAGAAAAGGTCATTCACATTGTGCAGATACAAACTTTTTGGAAAGTGTGGTGAAAAGTTAAAACAAGTACTATAAACTGGACTTAAAACATGAACAGAAAGTACAATGGTTGTTACCAAGGGCTGAGAGCAGGGGAGAGGGAAGTTGTTGGTTAACGGTTATAGAGTTTCAGATCTGGAAGGTAAAAAAATTCTGGAGATCTGTTTCCCAACAGTGCAAATATTCTTAGCACTGTTGAGCTGTACACTTAAAAATGGTTAAGATAGTAAATTTTATATTATGTGTTTTTTTACCACAATAAAGAAGATGGTTAAGATGGTAAATTTTATATTATGTGTTTTTTACCACTGATTTCTTAATTTACAATTATAGGCAAAATGTATTAATCACTAACTTAATAAATTTGTTTAGGGCTTCATCTTTGAAATATAAGTGGAACCCAAGTAAACTTTTGGAGAGGAGAATGATAAGGAAATGGTATGGATCTGAGAGAAAATCTTTACATACCAGGGATGGGCTCTGGGACGTACTGGAGAGCTAGCTTCATTTCACCTCTGTTTTCTGCTTCAAGGGCAACTGGTGCTGTCTGGAAAATGAAGGAATGTCAGCAGGTGTGAGATACAGACTTTTTATCCATTTCTGGGACGATGTATAACTCATGATTACCCAGACTAAATTAAGGTGGTCTGACCCTATACCATCTGTCAGAGCAAAAGTAAATTATCCCTAGAATATCCCAGATGTGATAAAAAATGAACAGGCATCCCAAGATGGAGAACCAAGTGGCCAAACTAAGATTTAAAAAAATTGATAAAAGATACTCACAAATGTTTAAGATACTGGAATTTTCAGATATACATTTTAAATAATTTTGATTGCTATAAACATTTGCTATAAAACATTGTTATAAACATTTATAAAGAAAATGTTAAGATTCAGACCTTTAGGAAAGAAATGGAATCAAACAGACAAATGAAAACCCATATATATATTTTTTCATTGAGACAGGATCTCACTTTGTAGCTTGGGCTAGAGTGCAGTGGCGTTGTCATAGTTCATGGCAACCTCAAATTCCTGGGTTCAAGTGATCCTTCTGCCTTAGCAATCCTCTTGCCTCAACCTCCTGAGTAGGTGGGACTACCAGGCAAGCACCACCATGCCTGGCTAATTTTTTTATTTTTTGTAGAGACAGAGTCTTCCTATATTTCTCAGGCTGGTCTCAAACTCTTAGCCTCAAATGATCTTCCTGCCTCAGCCTCCCAAAGTGCTAGGATTCACAGGTGTAAGCCATTGCACCCAGCCAAAAATCTGAATTTTAAAAATATATTAATACTTGTTATATTGTAGATGGGATCAAACTGTACATGGCTTTAACAGTAGAATTGACATAGCAGATAAAGTTATTATGCTGAAATATAAATTAGCAAAAAATAGCCTAAAGCCAAAAAGAATATAGAAAACAGAAGATAGTAAGGGACGTAGGGACAGAATAAAAAGGTATGTGTAATTGAAATTTCCAGAAAGAAGAAGAAAACAGGGCAAAGGCAGCATTGGAAAAAATAATTTCTGAGAAATTTTCAAAGTTCCAAAAATACCAAGGCACAGATTCAAGAAGTTCAATAAATCCAAAACAAAATAAATGCCGCAGGGTCTCAGGCCATAGCTCTCACCCCACACGGCAATGACCTGCTTTGCCAGCCCTGCCACTGCCTCTCCCCCTGTTCGTGGTGCTTGGTGGAGGATGCTCCAGCTGGCTGCCACCAATCGTGGACTCTCCTGGACTGGAATCCTGTGTACCCAGTAGGCCCACCGGAAGGGCAGTGGGCTGCCCTGTGCCCAAGCTCTATTACCCATGTATAATATGCACCCATATTTTTTCCTCAAAAATTGGGGGAAAAAGTATACAACATTATACAGAGCAAAATACTGTATTTAAATGACCTTCCTGAAGCATCCGAAACATTTGTGCTCAATGGTTTAAACATTTCTCCCTATAATTTTTACCCTTTCTTCATTGAATGTACAAGTAAGTCCAACTTTAGTTTTAAATGATCCCAAACTACAGATCAGCACTCTAAATTGAATGTAATTAAGTTTTTTCCTATGCACCCCCAGGACCCAAGCCAACTAAATAAACAAAAAAACCCTGAACTTACCTTTCGCTTCAGAGGGTACCACTTCAATTGTTTATTCTGTTTGTCATCCCAGTCCCATGTTTCCAAATCAAGTTCCACTTCCCCTAGGAAACTATTACGTTTAAATGTATCCCGATGCCAGACAGACAAATTCAGCTTCTGTGTCTTTAAGATTTGCTTTTCGATTTTATACTGGAGTTCAAAGAAAATTAGAATGACAAATAACATTATTTTATGCCAAAGTTAGGACATACAGATGAAAAGTCATCTATGTAGATCAGATTTTCTTATCTATTAGATTTCAAGTCTTAAAAATATTGCAAAGTCATCTTATTCTACGTGTCATGTTTCAAAGAGCTCAAATCCATCTTTTATAAAAGCTGATTTTCTTCTCTGCTCTGCAAAAGCAAACCAGAGCTCAAATATCATAGCTGGTAATAGTTCTCTATAACAAAAGCCAGTTATTCAATTTTGCTAGGTATTTTTAGTGTAGATATAACATGAATCAAATTCAGTCTAGAAATACAAATCAAATTTTAATCCAATCTTCTGTTTTCTAAGAACAAGGTAGTTTGTAAAATGAGAATTTATTTTTTTAAGCAGTTATAAGTTCATAGCAAATTTGAACAGAAAGTAGAGAGTTCCCATATATAATCTGCCCCCGCCATGCAACTCCCTCACTATCTACATTCTACAAGGAGAAGATATTTGTTTAAAAAAGATATTCTTGTTTTTTTTCTGTTTCATACAGTCAAGCAGAAAAGATTTGGTATTCTAACAGTTTTTCATCTCAAATATAGTCAATCCTTGATTATATATAATCATAGAAGGGATAATAGTACTTCTAAAAATAATCTCCATTTGGTTTTATGATATACTACTTGAATGTCCATTTTGGTTGCGGCAGACTTGCCTTTCTGAGTTTATCATTTAAATTAGTTGGCTTTTCCTGAGTATAGGGGTTGAAGTAACTGACACAGAAATAGCTATGGTTCTGGTGTCTATCATAGTCAAACAGTAATTTAAAACTTGCTACAGAAAATCCACAGGCAGTCAATTCACCCATGATGACTAAGAGTTGATTTAAATACTGCTTCTTTTTCCAGAGGATGATCAAATACTTGGACAGAGTTTCAGAAAGAGAGGATGAACAACACTTCTTATATTTTTAGTTTTAAATAATGTTAGTCATGACTAAGACAGCATGACACAGTTTGGAGGCATGAAATGGAATATGAGCCAGGCATACTTCCCATTTGTTTGTGTGTCCATTTATCCTTCTGATAAACATCTTTTGAGTACCTATGTGCTCATTCTGATTAACGCATATTAAGCCTTTTAATGTTCACAAGCACTGAGGTAGGTAAGTACTATAAATATCTCCCTTTTTCAAATCCCCAAACTAGCCATTATTCCTAATTTGCAGATCTGAGGTACAGACATGTTAAGGCATTTACCTAAAGGCACACAGTTTAAAAACAACACAGAGTCAGTCCCTGCCCTCATGGAACTTACAATTTAATGGCAAGGATGATAATGGAACTGGTGAAGTGCTGAGTGTAAACACAGCCTGTTACCAAGCATCGTTACTGAGGCAGCAGACAGCAGGAACACTTAGTGGTAAAGGACAGTCTTTCATAAGAGACTTTCTTATTTAAGACATTGTAAAGGGGTCAGGGAAAGAATGTAGGGAAGAATATTCTAGCCCTAAGGAACAAAGTCCCAGCAGTGTGAGAAAATGTACTTTCTCCAAAGAACAGAAAGGAATACAGGGTGACTGGGACAATCACCATGTAAGAGGCAAGTTGAGGCTGGAGCTCAGGTGGTGAAGGAAGTGGTGTGCATGTTAAAAAAGATGGACTTGACCCCAAGATTAGTGGAAATACTAAAAGATTTTAAGCAGAGAAATAACACGATCAGCATTGTGCTTTTAGATTTTCTGGATGTAATGCCCAAGCTTATCAGCTGTATATCCTTGAACAAGTAACTATTTCTCTGAGGTTCATTTGTCTCATCTCTGAGGAGGCTGGCAGTGTACATATGGGGAGTGAACGACATAATGCAGACAGCATTCGTGGTGTATTGTCTCATACAAAATAGTCTCAGAGCATTTCATTCCTTTCCTTCTCCAATGTTATTAACTGACTTCATTCTGTAGAGATATTATCCAAGAGGACATGTCTATTAAATGTACTGGTCACCATTTAAGATTTTCCTATATGAAAAGTGCACAGTTTACCCGCAGTATCTCATTATACACAGGATTCAAGGTTTTCTTCACTATAAGTGTTTTCTTCTTGCCCATTTTGCCTTTGTCTGATAACAAATAGGTCTTTACATATCTAAAAAAGAATTGAACAGATAAGAAATTTAGAGAAGATAAAAGTAATGTTTCCACCTCTACTTTTAAAAATGCATTGAAAAGTTACAGCAGAAAGAACTATTTCCTGATACTGAGAAGAACATAACAAATATTTCCACCAACATCTTTATATTTAAGTGTTAGAGGAATGTTAGTGAAATCGATTATTTAATATTGTTGTAACGAATCTTTTTTTTTTTTTTTTTGAGACTAAGTCTCAAGTTGTTGCCCTGGGTAGAGTGCCAGGGTGTCACAGCTCACAGCAATCTTGGGCTTAAGCGATTCTCTTGCCTCAGCCCCTAAGTAGCTAGGACTACAGGTGCCCACCACAACACCTGGTTATTTTTTGTTACAGTTGTCATCGTTGTTTAGCAGGCCCAGGGCCAGGTTTGAACTTGCCACCCTCCGTGTATGTGGCTGACACTGTAACCACTGTGCTATGGGTGCTGAGCCCTGTTTTGAAGATTTTTGTCGTGTGAATTTTTTTTTTTTGCAGGTTTTGGTTGGTGCTGGGTTTGAACCCGCCACCTCTGGCATATGGGGCCAGCGCCTTACTCCTTTGAGCCACAGGTGCCACCCTGTTTTGAAGATTTTCAAGGGGGCTTTCCTGAATTTCTTTTGTCCTTTGACCTTAACTAATATGTAAGGGGTGGGAAGGGGCAGCTAACAGATCTCCACCAGAGTAGTAAATTCTGTTAGTTTCCTCTTGAGAAAAGGCTTTGGTGTCTGAAATATTTTTTAAGTATTTTTAAAAAGCTTTTGTTACTGTCTTTTGAGAAAAATTAATATTAGTATACCCCTAATTAGGCCATATTTAATGTTTAAAAAAAAGGATGCTGACCTCAGTTGTTTTTATAATAAGAATAAAAGAAAAAAAGATTGGGCTTATTTGAGCAAAAATAAGAGTCAGACTTTTGCATAGGGATAAGTGGGAAATATCACTCAATTTTTGCAAATAAACAAAAATGTGACCAAACCAGTGATTTACAAATAAATTAGTAATTTCCCTTAAAGTTCTTCTATAAGATTTAAAAGTAGAAACCACCTTATTATAGAATCTTAACTATTTTTGTAACACTGAACACATTATGAAGTATGCCCCACATGTCCCTGATTTTAGAAAAATTTTGAATGTGACAGAGACAGGGGTTTAAGCCCTTATTCCTCATTTTGAGGCTGTCTGGAATTTACATATATGGGTCACTTATCTTCTTTGGCCCTTGTTTATCTATAAAATGAAGGAATTGAAACTAGATGATCCCAATTGTCCTTTCCAAGTTGAAACATTCTATATTCTTCTGCGATTTTTATAATTTAATGTTGCGCATATGAATTTAATTAAAGTAAATAAAATAGCATTCCCCCCAATTTTTCAAACATTCCTTTTTAACAGTCACATGCATACCCTACCCCTTTGTTTACTTTCTTTCCTTCCCAATTCCTACAGGATCAACTGTTTGAGAACTAAGAAAAAGCAGGTGACTCCAAATTATACTTACGGGTCTGAACGTTGTTTTTTAACATCTGCTGCTGCTAAGTCCTTGCACTGGGCCACAAAAACATGCAACTCCTTCAGTGAGTCCACGTATTCAATTGCAAACTGAATATTTCCTTTAACTTCTAGATTGCCAAAGTCTCCACTATAAACACTCATCACACTGCCACTCACCTGGAATCGTCAGAAATAGTGTTTGTCTTTATCTCATTCTGGAACCCAAAGGATCATGGATATAATCTTTGTTTAGCATTATTCTCTCTAGCTTGCATATAGTAAAGCAGTTTTAATTTAATATAGCATAAAGACATGTCAACATAGGCAACCTGTCGTGATATACATGACTAGAGGGTTTTTTTTTTTTAATTCCCTCTATAAGACATAGATGAAAAATGAAATGCAAAGTTATTTAAATACTAGCTCATTTCAAAGCAGGGCAATTTTCTGCTAGGCATTCAAATTTCCATTTTTAGGCATCCTTAGGATTTAAAATCCTAAAAAGAAAGAGGACGTGAGAAGCCAGGCACTCAAATCACAGTGACGCACTGCTTTATCAAATATTCTAGGCACTAACAAGGAATTTTACGATATTATCCATCTACTGAATCTAGGAAGACACTTACCGAGCCAGGCATTTTTAGAGGTCAGGAAGGGTATACTAGAAAACGGATGACTGATGAAGGGAGTTTAAAGCCTTCCCAAGGGCAGACATTAGATTGTTATCAGCAAAAACTCATTTAAAAAAAAAAAGATTTCAGAAATACAAGGTCATAAAAATTTAAGCATAGCTTTATAATTTAACATAGCTGGTGAAATAATATATGTGATTCAGAGAAATATTTGCATAAGTGTATGTATTATACATACATCTGTATGTATATATGTGCTATGTATTTCTATACATATACTACATGCATACACAATTACCTCACTTTATGTAGGAAGTTCTATGTAAAGTCAAATTTATTAAATTGTCTTAAATCAAATCAGAGTAACTATACTTTAGGAGCTTTCTTTTTAAAACCCTGTTCTGAATTCTATAGGCAAAGAATTACCTCTCTTACTCTTTTATGTGAATCAGTATATTTGTTCATCAGGCTTACTAAAATATAGGTACGATTCTATGTTTGGAAGAAGTATATAAAAGCATATCTGATATAAGCATGCTTTACAATAGTTAACTCAATTTTTGCACAGAAAAAAACTTAATGGTTCATCTTATTGACCATTTAGACTTATTTCTGAAATACTTACCAAAAACCTGCAAAACATTTACAACGAGATATAAACCACTATATTCTTAAAAACAAAAAAAAAAAGAGAGAAGAATGAAAGGGAAAAAGGAAGATTTAGCTAGCCAGAAGCTAATTACGGATTAGAGAAAAAGCTTGTGCACTTGGAATCTGAGAAATACAACAGAAGGCTGTTTTACAATGAGCATGTCATAGAGAGGGTCAGAGATGAGGAGAGATATTAATACAGAGCCTTTTTTTACATACAGAAGATAAGGACGTCATGCCAGAGGAGCTGCTAAGATTGGTTAAAGAGCTCGGGCTCTTCTTGTGTCTGCTGAGCTGGTAACTGCTTTCTGATGCTGTATCTGTTTCTCTGTCATCACTCTATAAAACATCATATAATATGCACTGTGTTTAAATTCAGAATGAGTTATAATCAGAATCAATGCTGAGACAAAAATAATGTCTTGGTATCCCACTGATGCATGATATTTCCCCTAAGTCAAAGAATGTTAGTGCTAATTGCCAGGAAATGGGATTCAGGATGGAGTGGGAGGTCTGCATTGGACCTCACCTAAGGATGGGATGGGGGCTGACTTAACTACCAAAATAGTTTTTTTTTCACCTACAACGTGACCCCCAAGGTGCTTTAGAAGAAGTACTATTGTGACCCTTTTGTCACTCTTTTAGTATTACATATTTGTGTCACCTGTATAACTTTATTAATATGAGAAGGTCTGAGATCTATCAAAACATGAAATGTCATGCTTAATTATTCTTATTATTAACATAGTCTTAGCTTCTCTAAAAATCAGCTCTTTTACCTGAGACCCTATTAAACTAGGAAAAAGAAATGCTAATCTGACCTCTTTCAACGAAAGGTTATATACACATAAATATAAATATGTATGTACATATATATACATGTTTGTTGACGTAGGGAGTTAAATTATATCCTCTATTCACATTAGATTTAACACATTTCTAAAAATAAAAGCAATAAGATAGATACAAGTACTTATTTTAAATATGTCCCAGGAAATATTTACCTGGGACAAGAGAGAAAAGTAGCAAATTCTATAATATTTAGATCTAAATAGTAGCTTTAAAAATGCATGATTTAGAAAGAGCTCCTTTGAGGGTTAGAGCTTATCAAGCAGTTCAGTGACTCCTGGGGTTAGGGGACACCTGTATGGGGGAGGAGTTAGTTCACTGTAGCATATTCTAGGACCATGCAATTATGCATCAATATAACGGATGAAAATTGTAATGCAGATTAATAAAAGTTAAAGAAAAACAAAATTCATGACTTATACGGATAAGGATTAAAAATCTCAAGGATTAAAACAAATACATACCTTTTACTTCTTTATTTATTTAAATTCAGATTACTATGAGCTTACAAACGATTAGGTTACAATGTTTGCATCTGTTAGGTAAGGTTTCTGTTGTAGTTGTACCCTTCACCCAGGAGGTGTGCCATGTACCCCTAGCTTGTGCCTGTTAGGTGAGAGCACACCAATCCCCCTCCCAAGTACATACCTTTAAAATATCTGTGTTACACTCTCTCTCCACATTCTTACAATTCATTTCCCCCTGTTAAAATACATTCTATACCCTTCTTAGTAGCTCAGGTCATTAGGGAATCACTGGAATGATGGGACCCTGTCTTGTTGATCTGGAACAGTGTTTTTCCTGTAACTGGCATTCAAAAATATGACTGATGATCAGCTTCAAAGGGACAGTGGACAAATGAGCAAGGCCTTATTTCATTTCTACTCCCTTTAATACCTAGTTTAACATCATGTACTCCATGTAAAATGATACAACTGAATTCTGGCATCTCTGAGACACAAACTCAAATGATTCGAACTCTTCCATGCAGAGCTATAAGACAGCAAGTTAAAACCGAAGGGAGGAGAAAGATAAAAAAAAGAAAAAAGAAAAAGAAAAAAACCAGAGACTGACATAATTTGCTCTCATGCTCTTATAAGGTTCATTCATATGATTGCCCAAGACCAACAGCTCTACAAAGGTATAAAACCACAGGAAGTCCAGGGGACACCTACCCTTGGATTCCAGTTAATGAATGAGTTCCAAAGAATGAATGACTCTTTCCAAAGAAAACTATGATGTGGGCTTTTAAACATATATACGAGGGCTGAAGATTTGCAGATAGAGCTCACTAAAGGCTCAAGACTTAATAAAGGGTGCTCGGGACAGTGTATATGGGTAAAGGAATGTAATTTATGTTAAGGAAAGTTTTGGGCTTTTCTTAACATCCATCTATGAAAAGAATGCCTGAGAATAAAGCATTTTATTTCACCATCAGAAATCATAATGAAACCACAGATAGTAGCAGTTAACACTTACCACATATTACTATGTGCCAAACATTATGCTATGTGTTTTTTCTATATTATCCCACAGATTCCTTGTAACCTAATATGATAGGTTCTAGGTAACCAGACTCTGTCAGTTTCTGTTCTAGGAAAGTAAAGAATTTGTCTATGATCACAGAAAAAATTAGTATCTTTTGGGGGCAAGACACAATTGTAAGAGGGACTTTACCTAACAAATGCAATCAGTGAAACCTGGTTTCTTGTACCCTCAATGAATCCCCAACAATTAATTAAAAAAAAAAAATTAGTATCATAGCCAAGACTGGGAATGTCTGGCTCCAAAGCACAAACTTCTAAATACCTGACTGTAAGAACATGGGATCTTAATTAAATCTACTTTTCTTTTTTTCTTTTTTTTTTTTTTTTTGAGACAGAGCCTCAAGCTGTCCCCCTGGGTAGAGTGCCGTGGCATTACAGCTCACAGCAACCTCCAACTCCTGGGCTCAAGCGAGTCTCCTGCCTCCGCCTCCCAAGTAGCTGGGACCACAAGCGCCCGCCACAACGCCCGGCTATTTTTTGGTTGCAGCCGTCATTGTTGTTTTGGCGGGTCCGGGCTGGGGATTCGAACCCGCCACCTTAGGTGTACGTGGCTGGCGCCTTAGCCGGTTGAGCTAAAGGCGCCGAGCCAAATCTACTTTTCAGTAGCTGTTGCATTTTAGAAGTTACTTAACCTCTCTCAGGCTTTTTCTTCTTTTATAAAATGGAGAAATACCACATATAGTTAGTGAAAGTTGTATATCAGAATAAGTGTCTGGCACATACTAGATACTCATTACTTAGATAATGGTCATGTTCTTACTCGAGACACGAGTAGGTGTCCAACCTGTATGTGGATTATTTGAGGACTCTTTTCCTTATCTGTGGTGTCAGATAGCACAAAAAGTAGGCATGGACTTTTTCTTTTGTTCATCAGCTTTTGTTAGTGTTTATTTAATGTGTGGCCCAAGACAATGCTTATTGTTCTTCTAATGTATGGCAGAAAATAAGTTGGATGCCCCTGCCTATCATTTAGTAGTTAATAGCATGGGAGTCAAACCTGGGCTCTTGTCCTGGTTCATCCCCTTTCTAGCTGAGTAAGGTTATTTACCTTTCTTAATTTCAGTTTTCTCACCTGTGCCAATAGTGATGGTGCCTACCTCCCAGGGTTGTTGAAGGATTAAATAAGATAATATGTGTAAACTGCCTGGCACCTAGTAGATACTCAAAATTTGCTGCATGTATGTTATTATTTTAACAAATGCTTTCAAAGCTAGTCAGGCAACTTAGACTACGTTTTCAAAATCAACTGTACTCTAAACTCCAGAGGAGTAATTCGTTCATGTCAACATATTTCTACCTAGATTACTTATTTTGTACTTGCTTTGAAGCAAAAGTCCTATTCCCAAATCTATTCAATTTGACCTCACTGAGTCAAATGTCACCTGCCTTGCTTTGTTCCAGGATCAACAATACTACTCCACTGACTCAGAAGGCAAGGGTCAGTCCTGTGACCTCTTTGGTCTCTGCCACAGCGGAATATAAACACACCAACCATGGCATAGCAAATCCACCTATCCGGCTCCATTTTTCTGAAGGTACAAAAGACAAACTTGCCTCATCTTGGAGAAATGCTGGAACAGACTTGCTCATCCTTTTGAGTTTGTCAGGGTGGGAAAACTGATTATCAGGCTGTGCAGGCACTGTGGAAACTAAACAGCATTTCCATTTCAAAATTATTCTTACAATTGTCAGACAACATCAGGCACAAGTTGAAAACACTTTTCTTTCATCTATGAACAGACATATTTTTGTAAAAAGGTTAAAGGCACAGTAGTTCACATGCACAGGGTCAGGAGGTGAGCAACATGCAGTTTTTATAAATCACATAGAGAACTAGCAAGGAGCTGAACCAAATATGAAATTAAAGCGAAAATTTTAAAAACACTGGTTTTAACCGAACTGGAGCTGCACTTGAATTAAAGGATACTGCCAATGTGAATTGGTTTGACTTATTTTTTTCACATCAGAGCTTCAAACTACAAGGCAATTTATTGGTTCATCTCCCTGAGATATATTACTAACATGCTGCAGGCTGAAAACTATTTCATCTGGACAGTAAATGTTTTTGCACACAACTCAATAATAAAGGTGCCCTAGCTATTAATACTGAGTGTCTAAGAGTAGATTTGTTTGTTTAGTGACCCTGAGGATTACATTTCTGATAATCCTCACCTGATGGTTCTTCTCACAAAGAATTATGAGACAGAATTTAAAAATCATTTTTTGAAAATAGAAATTAGATACCTGCCGACTCAGAGAATTTTCAGTATACGAAAGCCAACTTAGATGGTTCAGTTAGCATCTTCTGTGATACTTAACATAATATTTAACGTAATGTTAATGTCTCTTTTATAATAAAATCTTTCTGATATAGAGGTATATGTATAGGGAAAAAAAGAAAGTATGCATGGAAGGCACAATAAGAGGATAAATTCTAATCCTAATTTGCATATCTCTAGTTAAAAACTATTTCCTTTGTCCAAGAATGAATGAGTTAATATTTTTCAAAGTAGTTAGAACAGTGCCTGGCACATAGCAAGCTCTGTAGATGTATTTTCCAATCAAATCAGTATCTGAGAGAATCTTTAATTATATCATGAACATGATATAAATATATTAAATTGCCTTTATTATTAAAAAAGGTATTAGGAAAATAAATAAAAATCCCATCATATTTCTATGTGTAACTCAAAAGACCCAAATTCAGTCCTAAACATTAGCTAATTCATCTTTTAGTTAAAAGAAATCTAATGGCAGAAACACTGAAAATTGAGGTACACACTCAAAATAGATCTTTGTTCATGTAGTCTTAGGTTCATAAAGGTAAATGCACATCAGAATACCCTTATGTTGTCTCTCTCGAAAGACAACTATTTAGCCACTTTCCATTAAACAACTCTCTGTGTGTGTGTGTATCAGAGTATATTGGGATGGTTTGCATCGACAGCAGTGTGAGATTAGGTCCCACAATATTGTCCAATAAGAATGCAAACACTTTTTAGTTATAACATTGCTCCCCATCATTTTTAAAGTTTATTGTAAGATGATGTTATGAGGGTCAAATTCAGTTATACCTTCCATTAAAATGTAGTCAATTTTAGACTTTATGGGCTGTAGTTATTTTAGTTTTGATCATTTGATTTTGTGGTATGTACATACTCTAGAGTAGTAAAACAGCACTAAGAGTCATCTTGGAAAATATCACTAAAAAGAAAGAAGTTAATTTACCCAGAGTTCATCAAATGATTCACCCATCTTTCTTGACCAATACCTAAACCAGTCATGGTCATGAACAAACATACAGATGGTCTAGGCATGTATGTCTGTGTATGTTGTTTTCACTCTTATGGCTCAATTTTGAAGAAATGCCCAAACTTAAGTATAGACCAGTTCAAAAGCAACTGGAAAAGCCTCTAACACTCCTTAGTGGCAGAAGTTTTATTTCTTCTGCAGCAGACAGCACATATTACCCAGGGCCAAAGCCTGGGCTGTCTTCTTTCCTAGGCAGTTCTTAAGAATTTGTCAAGTCATGTGCCAAAGCTCAGCACATTTGCTGAGCAAAGTTTCAGATTTCATACTGCGTATCACTGACTTCTGGCCATCAACACATTGTTTCTTTAATGAGGTGGTTCTCAACCTTCCTAATGCTGCGGCCTTTTAATATAGTTCCTAAGGGTCGCAAACCACAGATTGAGAACTGCTGATCTAATGGCTCCTTCATTTAGCTGCTCTCCTCACTGATGCCTGTTAGCACATCCAAAGACTACTGGAAAATTATTAAAAATATTGTGGGCCTGAGGGTAGGCATGTGTATTATCTTCATAGCTCTAGTGCCTAAGTTTATGAAACCAGGAAGCTAAAGCTAAGAAATCTGTCTGTCTTGTCTCTCTGTCTCTTTCTTTCTCTCCCTCACACACCCCCCTGCATGCTAGGTCCCATAAGCATGATTTAAAGCCATTATCTGGACAGTAGTCACAACTAAGTAACATAATCTTGAGAGTGGAAAAGAGTAAACAAACATCATCTTTGCTTGGCAGTGGATAGTAATTAGTTGATGGTCATTAGTTACCACAAGTGCACATTTACTTCTTATATTCAGATGTTCACTTGCTTTAGACATGAATATTTACTGTTACGAGTCCAGTGTGGAAATCTCAGAGTTTAAACTCTAGACTTAATAAAATTTGCTTTTATAGCTATGTAGAAAAACCTATACAACCATATTAGATCCTGTCAAAGAACAATTCTTTCTTAGGCTGACACAAGTTATAAATTGCTCACATTTGCAACTTTGTACAGAGGCCACAGGAGATCTAATACTGCGACATACAAGCCAAATGAAATCAGAAGGTGCCAAATGGAGTTTAAGCAAGAGAAGCAGACTGATAAAAGTACAATACTCAGCAATGACATATATATTTAAATATATAACTGTCCTACCGTGAAACCATAAATTATTCTTTCAACACAGACAAGAATGAAATGTTTCTAATAAAACCTTCATCATAATGAAATAGTTTTGCAAGCTGCAGTTTAGTACCAATAATAGAAGTTGTGTTGTTAATGGGGTTAGTTGTTTCAGCATATTTAACAAACACTACATAGAGCAGAACATTTAGTTATTTGTGAGAAAGATCCTGCTACTCACTTCCTGGTATGCATTCATTTGTATCTGCTTCCTGATCTGCTTTTTGATCTACTCAGGAGGGCAACATTGAGAATAAATACCATTTTAATAGAAGGATTAAAGAGACATGAAAGTAAAGCTCAAATGTCAAAGTTTTACAACTGAGAGAGGAGAATGTATTTGTCCGGGTTTTCAGCTTGCTTTCATCCAATCTCCAGTGTGATTCTTTATTAGCTTCTCTAAGGTCTCCTGTTCAACTAAAAATCAAGACCCAACAAAGGAGATATGTAGTATCTTTCCCTTAATTCACTAAATCACAGCATGGAAAATGGGAGGGAGCACTGGACTAGGAGTAACGAAGCTGAGATTCTATCCCCTGCCCTCCCACTAACAGACCAGCTACCGAATCTTGGAAAAGTCATCTACGTTACCTTCGCAGTTTTTATCTGCAAAATAAAGTTAAAAACACCTGCCCCATCAACTTCAATGAGGTCATTGTAAATATAAAATGAGAAAGACAAAACTATTACATAAAAGTAAAGAATGACCTTTGAGATCTCTGTTGCTGCATTTATACAGGAAAGCTCAAAGAGTACACATTTTTATGGTTGTAGAGAAGGTAAGGCAGCAAAAAAATCCAGCATACAAATATAAATTATACATTTGCATAAATTCTGAACTATGAAAACCACACTCATTGCCATTCCTCCCCCCACCAAGGCACTATTATCCTATTCATTTGATCTACTGACAAGCTTCAAAATCTTCTGGCCCCATTATATTCAGAATCAATTCACCCTCAGTCTATACTTATTTATATAAGCAGAGGCAGGATTCTCTACCCTTGTTCTGGGACCCTTTGCTCTGAACTTAAAGCTCTACCAGTTGTGCCCTGAGAGATCTAAATGTTGAGGTTTGAGAACCAAACATAGGAACCCACTCCACTCACTCATAATGAGTTCTGTAAGTCAGAATCACAAAAATCAGCTCATAGCCATAGAAATGCAATTTCCTATTTATAGAAACCCTTGCTTCCCAAGGGTCTGATGAGATCCTCTCAACAGTATCAGCAGCAAAAGCCTTAAGAACATAAACATTATTAAATGTACCAAGTCAGAATCATTTTATAACAACTTAGGCACTATTCAGCACATATAGTGGCAAATGACGTTCTTCTATTTATCCAACAGCTGCGTCCCGGAGACTGCCCAAATCACCCCAGAACTTAATACACAGACAGACATGCAGATACATAAAGATATTTACCATCTTCAGCACTATGTACTAATTCTTCTGGCAGATTATCTACTTTTGCTTGATCTGTTCAGGAGAAATTAACAAATGGTTAACATGGCTGACCCTTGGAGAGAAAAGAACAATGAGATTGTCCCTGGAAGCCCCCGGAGTTGGAAGCAATTAGTCAAGATGCAGTGAGGGGTGCAACCAAGATGTCTTCCCCCAAATACTTTCTCTTTAGATTAGCTGCTTGAGCCTGTGCCATAGCGAGAGCTCCCATTTCAGCCCCGATGCAGCTCACATCAGCACACTGCTGCACACTGACTCCCCAGGGTTAGAGGGTTAGCTCAGAGCAAGCAATTGGCCAGCAGCAGGAGAAAGCACAGGGCTGCAACAGCCTCTCTATTCTTCTGTAAAGGGTAAGATGCTAGCCATGACTAACACCTTCCCAAACCCATGGTCATTAACAAATATTTGTGTGTGTGCATCATCGTTCGTGTATGCCGCTGGGAGGCTTGCTTGGGAAGTCAACTGAAGAGATGTAACTGGGGACCAGCTGCTAAGTGGAATCTTGGCAGGCTACTGTGAGAGTGGGTATCGGTATTTGGAAGGGAGCGTGCAGGAATACCGGTCAGCTGATGGTGATTTCTTCTTTCTTTTTTTTTAACCCTACACATTCCTGAGTGCTTTAAAGCTGCTCCATGGAAATCGCTCCATGCTTCACAGGCAAGAGGTTTGCTAAATTGAACAATTGTTGCTGAGGTTCCCCTCACCCCACCCCACAGGACCCATCACCAACCTCAGGAAGAATAATTGGGGCTGTCCAACAAAGGATGGGACTCGCCTTTTCTAGAAGCATTCAGGCGGCTGCGGGGGTTGGCCACCTGTTGAGGAGGCTTTAGAGGGAATTTCTGCATTGTGAAGAGGTTGAAATGGGTGACTTTCAAAATCCCTTCCAACCCTGAGATTCCAAGGTCCTTTAGAGGGTTAAGACTGCATTCCAAATCCAGAATAGTGTCCTCAGATCCCTAGGAATCTCTGAATTTTAGAAATTGTTTGGTGAAATGGCTTTTTCTTTTTTCTTTTCCTTCCTAAACTCTGACTTCTTAATCTCAATTACAGATGCATAAAAAATATTCTAAACACAACTGTGGTCAATTATGATCAATCAGAAGAGTTTTGCAGTGGTTAACTTCCACTCAATAATTTTTCTCATGACTACCTGCAATCCCAGGGATGTATCTTAGCTTAAAAACAGTAAGAACAGGCTCGGCGCCTGGAGCACAGTGGTTACAGCAGTGGCCACATACACTGAGGCTGGTGGGTGTATGAACCCAGCCTGGGCCAGCTGGGCAATAATGACAACTGCAACAGAAAAATAGCCAGGCGTTGTGGCGGGTGCCTGTAGTCCCGGCTACTTGGGAGACTGAGGCAAGAGAATTGCTTAAGCCCAAGAGTTTGAGGTGCTGTGACACCACGGGACTCTGTCTAGGGTGACATAGTGTTCTGTCTCAAAAAAAAAAAACAAAACAAAAAGAACAAAACCCCTAGAAGTCATGATGTCCAAGTCCATTTGTCTGGCACACAGTCCCTTTACACATTATGCTTTCTGTTAGTGCTCAAGAATCCCTTCACCAATTAAAGCAGCAACCAAGGGAAATAGTGTGCTAAAGTCTTGCATGTTAGGTTGTCTTTGGGCTTATAGTTCCTGTATTCAAAAGAAATGTGTGAAAGAAAGGAAGAGATAAAAGAGAAAGGGAAGTCCTTACAGCCAGGGATGAAGTCAACTACATATGAAGTAAAATTCATCAGCACCCATTATTGTCATATGTTACATGGCCCCTTCATAATGCTCTTGACAGTCTGTTAATTTTCAGTCCTGAGTCTGCTAACTAAGTTATTTCTCTGCTCTGAGCTTCATTTTCCTCATCTGTAAAATGGGGATAACAATTCATCTCTCCCAAGATTGCCTATGCTGGTTAAATAAAATAATACATGTAAAATTCTGAGCTGCATTTTGGCAAGTAATAGTCAATAAATGTTAGATATTAATACTATGTTCACTAGTACTGCTAGTTACCACAAGCCCTTAAAACTCACTGCACTTGAGTAAACACTCAAACTGGGATTCTTCGATTCAAGGAGGAATCGGTCATGAAATTTGGTTCTAGTAACGAAATTTCATGACTGATTTTTAAAGTTTCAGCCACCTTATGTTCAGCCTCTTCAGCATACTTCAGAAAGGTTATCCTTATCTGTTAATGCCCCAGGAGGGGTATCAGAGCGCATCAGCGTGCAGTGAGGCCTCAGCGGAGCACATGGACGTTTTTAAACTTAGAGGGAACATGAACAGTGGGGCAAACTTTATTCTCACTTGATGAATCTGACGAAATGTCTTCTAGACTTTTGGAAGGCATTTTCCTAGCAGCACTCCTTTCCAAAGTTTTCAAAACAGGACTGGGCTCTTCTTCTGAACCTGTTATAAGACAAAACCGATGAACGCTGCACAATACCAAAAAAAAAAAAAAAAAGCCAAAGGCCTCTAACCAACAAATGGACATTGAAGTGGTAGGTTGAAGGTAGACGTTATGCCATAAGCTTTCCTACTTTTATTTACTCAAAGCAGCACTTACTTTCCAGAAAAAAAATAGTACTATTAATATAGCATTAAAAAATATCTGTAAGCATAAACAAAATGGAAACGAGATTACAACATTAATAAAAATATGATGTCTTAGTTATTTACACCTCTATTTTAGGCTCATGATTTGTTCTGTGCCAGACTTTGAATTTTTCCATTTAACATTCTAGCTTTTGAAGACAGCCGTGAAATGATTTTAAAAGCATTAAAAAAAAATCTTTGAAAACCATGGAAGGCAGGACTCAGATGTTTAACATGTGTGTATAATTGAGTATACAGATGGGAGGGTTCTCCAGATCAGTGGTTATAGGCTTTCCTAATTTCATAATATAGTAAAATTTCCAATGAAATCTTGGAAAAGAACATGAGCTATTCAATGTTTTATTTTAATAAGACGTTTTAAAGATGACAATTTTTATTAAACTATATGTGTGTGAGGAGTCTTACCATTTATTAGTGCCTTTCTTTTATTAAGAGGAAAGGCATTTTAGAATCAAAACAAAAAGAGCATAACCTCAGAATAAGGTTAAATACTTTACAAAAAAACCTCTAGACAGTCCTTAATTTTTCCATTTTAACAACCCCTTCATGGATAAGCCCAGGCCTGAGTGCCGACACTTACCACTTCTATGTTCCCAGTGCCTAGAACAGGGGCTGGCAATGAGCCATTCAAAAGAATTTGCTGAATCAATAAATTTAAGGACCACTTCTCTAGACAATAATTTCCTGAAATGCATACTAGTTCTGTCCAGTGTCAGTAAGCATTCCAAGCAAATCGATTCTAAGATGCATTAGATATGGGATATTCTGAGTTCAAATTTAAAAGGCTTCTTACTGCAGATCTTCTCAGAGACTTTCACATAGTCATAATGAGCATAATATCCCAGCATTCCTTAATGTATTGTACCATGAAACGTCTTTTCATTTTCTCCTAAAGGAGCAAACTGAGGCATTGGTTGGTTAAAAGATCAGCCATAAGTCAAACGTATGAAGCTGCTCCCCCAAATTATGATAATCTTTTAGTTTGTTTTCCAACTTTACCCTATCCTCACTATAGTTTGTATAAAATAAAAACTTAGGTTAAACACACCTGGATCACCGTATACCTCTTAATAGGCTTATAGTTTTAAATAGGCTCTGTTGGTGATTAATTTTTATTACAAATTTTTTTCTTTACAGAGGGTATCAAGTTAAACCTATGTGATTATTTAATATTACTTTTTAGATAGGCTTTTTGCTGTTCGATTGGTTCTGCTGGCATGCTATAAGCACAGCTGTTCATTAGGTGATAGTCTCTAGAGTAAGTGCAAATTTGCAAATGTCCTTATCCCACTGTGGCTTGGTTTGCCCCAGTAACTCAGGGGGCAGTTTAGTAAGTAAGTAACTCCAGCAAGTTTTATATGCTGACTTTATTTCATGTACGATGTCTGGTTTTAGAGAATAGTTTTGTAATTTCCAGTTTTTACCAGTAACATTTGTTAAAGAGTCTTCAAAGTGGGTAAATAGGATTACAGGTGGGTTCTTTGCTAAATATTCAAGAAGAGACCCTACTTACAACTACTTATAAAGGAACCTAAACCTTTCACATAAGCCATTCAGTAGAGCTTGTCTATTTTCTTTTTTTGGCTGGGGCTGGGTTTGAACCCACCACCTTCAGCATGTGGGGCTGGCGCCCTACTCCTTTGAGCCACAGGTGCTGCCCAAGCTTGTCTATTTTCATTAAGACTGAGGGGAGCTAGAAAATGACAAATTCTATTAAATTATAGGAAAGGTGATCAATAACCAGTTATGGGACTGTGGTTAAAATATCCCAGCCAGAAAGCATTCCCTACCATTTCATCATTCAAATTAGGTAACTTCTCATTCCTATTTTTATGGGGTTTCTGTGCTAATATGCTAAAATGTTGATTGAATAGCAAACTGAAACAAGTCCTGGCAAAAGCCAGTACCCCTAATTCTAAGATTTTCATTAGCTTAGCCAAGGCTGAAACCAAAGAAATGCAGCCGGCCAGGCAGTAGGATTCTACCAGTCCTTAGGTAGAATCATCTGAGGTCATCTGACCAAACTCATCTGGGAAGATTCCGCAGATAAGTGAAAATGAGAGGGAGACAGTGGCAACAAAAACATCAGAGCACAAGAATCTGAGAGAAGGAAATTTCCAGGCTTATACTTTGTCTCCATTATTTAGCCACAAAGTGGCTGAAAGTACAAGTCTGGAAATTTATACTAAAGTATAGTATTGTTCCTTAAATGGGAGATTTATGCCCATTTTTGTCTCTATTTTATGATCCACTTTCTTGTCACAAATCTTACTAGAGACTTCTGTGAGGACTGCCAATTAAGAAAGAAATTGTAATTATTTCCAGGAGGAAAACTGGTTTAAATGTTTTAAAAATGTTTCTAAACTCAAAAAGTTATTTGAAAAAAATATGTTTGAAACCTAAAAATCCTTACGTAGATTAATGAGAAGTCAGACTATGAAACATAGCTTTAATAGTAAAGCTGTCTCTATGTAACTCATTTCATTCAAGAATATAAATAAAATGATTCTATTAAGAAAGGTTCAGAAGAACTGAAGTGCTGAGAATTTAGCACCATTTGGTGATATTAATCCCAATTGAAATAACATCATCCTTTATATCAGCATTCCATAAAGCATACTTATCATGAGTTAAAAATTTTTAAATGCTCACTGGAGGTATTTCTACAGCTTTCCACATTAGAACCGGTGTTTCCATCTGAAAAATCAGAGTCAGAGAAGCCTTTTTCTTCCTCTTTCTCTCGTCTCTTATATGGTGAGTCTAGAATCAATTCAATTTTACTTGTTTTTGTAGGATTTTCTTTGTTTGTTGGAAGAGGAATGGTGTGCCTATTTCTGGACAAAATAATTGCTTCGGGAGCCTCTTCAAAGCCAGGTCCCGGCAAAGCCCCTGGTCTCCCTGCGGCCTCACTGTCACTGTTCCTGCCATCCATGGGTTGTATATTCTTAATTGTCTCTATTTCATGGTCCACATGAAGTTGTGGGGTTCCGGGAATCTCAACTCTGCATTCAGAACCACAAAAACCTACTGATAAATCACTCACAGCTTCATCTCCTCTCAATACTTTGTCACATTGGCTAACTTGAGATTCTAAACCATTACTTTTAACTTTCACTTCAGAGGAGGCTGAAGTGTAAAAAGGGGGCACTGGCCCCAAGAATCTGGCCTGCTCTGACTGAGAGGGCTCCTTCCCGGGAGTTTCTTCCTTTACTGACTCCTGGAACTGATGAGGAGGAACTTCAGATATTTCTTTAAGAAGTTTCTCAAAACCAATATCAAAAGCACTCTCAGTTATGGATGGAGCCTTGGCCTTTTCTATGGTTTCTTTTATTTCCTCAGGATGGGATTCAGAAGCAGCTTGCCTGGGCTCCTCTGAACGACCTATTAACTTTGATGGGCAAAGAGTCCCTGTATCACTTTGTCTTGAGAGGGGGGTGTCACTTGTTTCCTTCAGTAGTTTTTCTAAGCCAGCATTGAATTCGGGGAACTCCGATTTGGGTTGAATAACTGTTTCCCTCACAATTTCTTCCACTTCCGGAGGCAGCCCTTTGCCATGCTGCATAACAGAGAAACCAGATAAGCTAAGGGTCTGTTCTGCTGGAGACACTGGGGCAGCTGAATAGGATCCAACTTCGTGAGTTTTATCAGGAACTACATTGAAGGAACCAAAATCTGTGCCATCTGGAACTATGGTGTCCATGGCCTCCTTGGGTAGGATCACTCCCAGAGGATTTGTGGGGCTACCTGCTGCCAGTACTCCTTCGGGAAATTCTGGTTTCACTTCTCCAGGACCCCCTTCCCTCCCAGCTGGGTAACTCCACCCAGCTTCTCTGCGCAGCTTCTGTAATGCAGCCTTTATATCATTCAGTGCAGATCTGGGTGGAAGAATGACTTCCTCTATAGTCTCTGAAATTTCCCTTTGAGAAGACAGTGCCCTATCCTGGGGAACAAGACGAGCATCCCGGGACAAAAACCTATCCTGCAGAGAGTTGGCCACATCCCCCAGAGAACCCTTTCTGTAAAGATTAGCAGGCTGGTCTAATGGGTAAGAGTCTTCTGCAGCCATCTGAAGCAAGTTCTCCATGTTTAGCTGGCACTCACCACTTTCAGCTTTCTGGGGGAGAGCTGTATTTCCCAAAGTTTCACCTCCCTCTGGAAAAGGAGCTCCTGTCTCTCTCTGATAAGCTGAAGTGTTGTGACTCTGTTCTCTCTCTTTTTCGAAAAATCTCCCCTCTTCAGGCTCAGCGTCGATTCTAGTGGTAATGGGTTCTAGTTTGGTTGGTAAAGGAGAGGGTGAAGTTCCAGTCGCTTCGTTAAGACTCGCACTCAGAGTGCTCCGTTTGACCTTCGGCTGACCTACTGTCTTGTCTGCATCCTCACTAGTGATCTTCTTGGGTCCTCTGGCTTCTTCCCCAGTATCAGCAAAATCTGTCTTGAGCGGCCATGTCTCATTTTCAGAAACACCTGGGTTGAGAACTGGTTCTCCATGAACGTTTTCAACAGAAGGTTGAATTGGTGGCGATAAAGCTTCTGAAAGAAGTTTCTGTAAGCTGTCATTCAAAGTGTCTTTGTAACTTTTAGAGAAAACGCTTGTTTTTACTATGGATTCTTGAATCTCTGGGTCTGAGTAAAACTTGTCTTCCTTGAACACTGGAGTAAAGACCCATTCCGTATTCTTTTCCACATTTTCCTTTGATGATTCATTTCCTGGCAACTGATGAGTGGACTTTCTGGGTGGTCTCAATGAAAATGTGGTTTCATCTGGTAGCACCTGAAGCACGCACTTTGAATTTGATTTCTCCATTTCCTCTCTTGCGGTAACTTTTTTTTGGCTTGAGTATTGAAATTCGTGAGTATTTTTCCCTGATAATTTACTATCACTGAATTCTTTGTGTTTCTGGCTGTTAAAAGGCACAGAATGTTTTTGGCCTGGTGTGGTAGTTTTCTTCTCACCATTATTCTTACTGTTTGGATTAGCTTCTAAGTCCCAAAACCTTCTCAGATTCTCAAACTGAGAGTGATTATAGACCTGTTCTGCACTGGATCCATCCATTCTTTCTTTTAGGGACATAACTTTAAAGTTGGCATTTGATTCACCAACAAAAGGTTTGTCTTTCTCAAAAGGAGTGGGCATTTTATTCCCAACATTTGAAGAATGTTGCAAGGCTGGTAAAATAATGTCTCTTCTAGAATGCAAACTGTCTACCACTGGTGGTCTTTTTACAGGCTCATTTGTCTTAATCTGAAACAGAGACACTTTGCCTGATTGGTCAGCTGAAGAATGGTTTTGGGGTGGATCTGGTATTTGGGGCCTGGTCTCTTTAGGTTTATTTGAGGAGTAAAAACTGGAGAGTAGGAGTGCTTGATCATCCTCATCTAGGACCACTCGTTTGGCAGTGACACGATTACATTCATTCTGGCCGGTAGATAAACTGTCTATGGACATATTCTGTGACTTCACAGGCTGACATGCTTTAGCAGAGGGTTGTTCCCGGCCACCTGAAGAGATGAGTTCTTTGTGAGTTAACTTAGCAGCTTTCTCTCCTTCCCAAAAGGATATTCTGTCACTCACTCTTTTATATTTCTCCCTTTGCACTTGGTTTTTGGGAACCTCATCAGCTTCTTGCACTTGGACCTCAGGCTTCTTCCAAGGAGATCCACTGCTGGCAACCCCACGTGCTGAGTCGATGTTCTCTGGCTCTAAGGAAGCTTTCAGGATGTGAGTATTTCCTCCTTTGCTCTTTCTATCTCCTTCCAAACTTGGTTCTTGGAAAACTGTTAAAGAATCAAAATTCACTTCTGAGTCTCCTCTATTTTTTTCATAAACATGAAGCTTGGGTTCTTCAACAAAGCTGCCAATATTCCTGGTATTGCATGGAGCCTGGTCTTCTGTGTCAGATCTCTTGGGAACATTGAAGGAATAGTTATTGGCCGGAGGAGATACCCCATTTCCTATGCTTTTGGTATCTTGGCTATAGTCCTTATTTTTATTCTTTTGACTTGAGACACCATGGCTTTCAAATGTTTGCAGTCTACCCAGGCCTTCCTTTGAGGTGTGTTGTGGGGACAGATTCATAGATTTGGACTGGATAGTCACATTGTTTTCTTGACCATTTCCAGAAACCAGCATGTCGCCTTCTATTTGGAATGCTGAGTCAGACCTCACTGGCTTCAGTTCAACCTTGGCGGATGATAGGGCATTTGAGCCATTTTCCTTTAGATTGTCATCATTGGTCACCAAGGCAATAGCAACCTGCGATTTGGAGCCTGTTTTTTCTTCAGGCTCTATTCCATGGGGATGTTGAAGGGATGCCTTATTGTTATGTGAACAAGAACTTCGGTTAAACCAGTCTAGGACTTTAGATATGGAATCATCAGTTGTCTTCCTTATCTCAGTGGCATATGGATCAGAGCGTGAGAATGTCTTAGCTTTTAGAGCCGGAAGAGGAGAAGGCTTACCTTGCTGATGATCTCTAGAACTGCAACCTAGCACCTGAGATGGTTCAGGCTTAAGGTAATGAGTCTGTTCACCTGCAATATAGAAATACTTTCCTAAATATGAAAAAGGCATGCTTAAAAAACTATTTTTATCCAATCATTCATACCATCTTTTTAAAAAGGCACTTTTCTATGTGCACATGTCTATGAGCACAACAACTGCCAGTTGTTTATACCAGCATTTTTCAGGGTTATAGTCTCTTAATTAGGGTGTCCTACCAAAGGGGCCCTGTGCCAGTAATGGAAGGCAAATATAGTATGGGACGTAGACCTAACTGGGAAATTTCCTTGAAATCCCTGGTTTATTTTAGAAATTCATGTTAATTTTGCATTCTGCTCCATGTTACGTTTTAAATGTTAATTTTCTCCTACTCTCAGATCTTAGCATAAAACTGGCACTCCAGGAAAGTACACGAGCTGACTTTATGACTTCACCTATCCCCGGCATACTATCATAAACCCTAGATTGGACTTATTCCCACATTTGAGAACAGAGACTTAAGCGATTTCAGGAGTTAGAAAAACAGCTTTTAAGTAAGCATAAAAAAGGAGTTCCTTCCACAACATTTAAATGGGACAAGGAAAGTATTTGCATTCCTAGGTCTTATTACTGAAACAGTAAACCAGAATCTCTGAAGATGGGGCCTAGGAATCTTCACTAACGGTTACCCTAGTGATCATTTTGCACACTGAAGTTTAACACCATGATCACAACAGACCCTTCCATTATGCCTCATTTCCTTTCTATCATTTGTTAAGTTAGAAATTAGTTCTTTAAGCTAGATAAACTAAAATGAGGATTGAGGGAGAATGTGATCTCCACTGGTTCTCTGATTTGTACTTACCAATGGCTTGGAAGGTAGGAAGGATATTTAAATTTTTTCTAAGCTATCAAGAAAGCAAAGAGTCTTTTCTGAGCCTTAATCACAGTGCACATAGTTCATCTGGATCAGAGAACTCAGGCATTTCCTTATGACTCATTAGGCATTTAGTTAAGACCCTTTAGTTAAGGCTCAGATATTTCAGTCTTTCTACTCTTCCTAAAATGCTATGTATATACAGGGATGGTTTTAAAAATTGTCTGAGCTCAATGTTTAGGAAGTTAGCCACATTTCAAATGTGGGACTAGAGGACATACCAATTAATAAATCTCTAATTTTAATCACCAACTATGGCTAAAAGTGAAAATAACAATGATTTTATACAATAAGTGGCACATAGTGGACATTGGTTTCCTTTCTTAAGTACATTCTGTACTGTTAAATATATGTCAATAAGTGTGAAGTTCCTCTGAGAGAGCTTTATGAATTTTGTCTTAGTCTGTTTACAGACTATTGAATGATTTCAAAAATGTTTGTGATATACTGTTAGTGAAAAAAGAAGTCTAAGCAATATAAACATAATTTATAAATTATATTCATGCCAAAAATTATTGGAACTCTAAATGTTAGCTAATGCTGGGTGATGACATCATAAATGCAATTTTAAAAAATTCTGTGTGCGTTTTTTCTTAAATGTTTTACAGTCAAAGTTTCTAGTTTAAAAATAAGAGCAGTTATTCAAAAAGTTCAGTGCCAGGTAATGGTTTGTTTCCTTTGAGGAATTTTTTTTCCAGTGTAACAATGAGATATTGACTGTCCTGAGTCAAACCCTTATGATTCACATACTTCATCAGTTTTGGGTTTTTCTTAATTCCTGGATTTCTTTTTATGTTCCACTATTACTTTTATATATTTTTGTAATAAGCAAAGAGAAAAAAAGCAGGGCATTAACAAGTAAAAAATGTTTTGTTTATAAGCACTCTGTGAGACCAGAAGGGCTGCCAGTCAATCAACATGGGTCTAGCTAATGTTTTCCTCCCAAATTTAATGGTCAGTTGGGATTTAAAAATCAGAAAGCACAAGGTAAATACAAAATTATAAAGACAGTCTGTGAAAAAGCAAATACAGTTTCAAAAACAGGAAAGGCTTACCAATTTTTCTATAAGTTACAATAAAGAGAGAATTGTAAAGGAATTTTGTGACTTTCGAATAAACATCTAGGTAAACATCATGCCATTATTTGTTAACATTTGGTCAACCATTAATAATTCCTTTAATGTGAATACCTTTCTTTCTTTCTTTTTGAGACAGACTCTTACTTTGTTGCCCTTGGTAGAATGCCATGGAGTCACAGCAACCTCAAACTCTTGGGCTCAAGCAGTCCTCTTGCCTCAGCCTTCGAAGTAGTTGGGACTACAAGCACCTGCTACAACACCCAGTTATTTTTAGAGATGGGATCTGTTGCTCAGGCTTATTTCAAACTCATGAGCTCAGGAGATTCACCTGCCTTGGCCTCCCTGAGTGCTAGGATTACAGGTGTGAGCCACTGAGCCTAGCTCACTACTTTTATTTCTTTAGGAAACATCTGCTAATTTTTACTTATGTATTTATTTTTTTGAGACAGAGTCTCAGTTTGTTGCCCTTGGTAGAGTGCCAGCCATGATATCACAGCTCACAGCAACCTCAAACTCTTGGCAATCCTCTTGCGTTGGCCTACCTGCCACAATGCCGGGCTAGTTTTAGAGTTGGGGTCTGGCTGTAGCTCAGGCTGGTCTTGAACTCCTAAGCTCAGGCAATCCACCTGCCTCAGCCTCCCAGAGTGCTAAAATTATAGCCATGAACCACCATGCCCTAACCTTTTAAGAAAACATAGGCTCATTTTTCATTTAAAAAAAAGTCATCAAATTGAAATGATTTTAAATGTCTTTTTTAAAAAAAATGGATTGAGGGCAGCGCCTGTGGCTCAAAGGGGTAGAGCGCCGGCCCCATATGCCAGAGGTGGTGGGTTCAAACCCAGCCCCAGCCAAAAACTGCAAAAAAAAAAAAAAAGGATTGACCTGAAAATGGATGACACTGTAGGGCTGAGCAAAAGTGACTCAGAGGTAGACTAATACTGACTAATAAGGGAGAAAGAGAGCAGTTGAGTTAGAAGCTTGATTGTTGCTATTGTAAATTGTCCTGACTATAAAGAAATTATCACAAGGTTGGAGGCAGATTTATTGAAGATGAGAGAAAGTATACAGCATAATTTTTCCCACTGTTTGTTTTTTAAAATCTAAAATTATGATTATGAGGCATTATAATTACTTTGCATTCATATAGGTATCAGAAAGTGGTTTAGGGCATTCCCTGCAAGTCAAGATAAGGCTAGCAGGAAAAGCAGTAGTTCATTGCCTCTCAGTTCACACCACTGAAAGGAAAAAGGTCCTTTGGAGCTTTAAAAGTCTAAGAACAAATGGCTGGAAGCCCTGGGCAGGCCAAAGCCTGAGGCTTTTTCCTTGTAAGTACTCAAAGTCTAGTTTTCATCCTGTTGGCAAAGAAAATGAAGGTTCTTTTGAGATAACGAGAGAGACCAAAGTTTGGTAAAATGGTAATTATAATTTGCATTAGATGAGTAGTAATTTACTTTGTACAAAGGTTATTAAGCATTTCTTCTTCATTTCTTTCTTACCCTCTCTATCTATACCTTGATTTAACTAAAAAATTGCCATTGGTTTAAATAATTGACATGGTCTTTTGGGGGGTAAAGCATAAGAAACAGTGCTGTCCTGTTTCTTTTCCTTATTGATGACTGGGGAAAACCTCTAAACCTATTAAGAAGTTTAAGAATTCTCCAAGGGCATCTGCCTGAATTCTATCTGGAATGCCTAAAAGGCAAAATTGGGCTTCTACAGGAATGGATGGTCTAGTCATTCCAAGAACACTCGGTCAGTTTTTATAAACTGGTAGTGACAACTATCTTACCAGCAGGGCTTTTGGGCAATTCTGATTCAAGCCTTGTTAATGCTGATGAGTCTTCTTTGTGTTTGCTGTTGGTGAGTGAATTCTCAATGGACTGTGGTCTTGCAGTTACACATTCTGAATGAGAATGAAGTCCATTAACTGGAAAAGAACCTGAAGTCATTGGCTGATGTGTTTCACTTTTTGATATATTTGGATTTGAGGCTGACTGATGATAAGGCAAAGGCTTTGTGTACTGGGATGGCTTAGGATCATTCTGAAACTCATCCATGCCACCTACATGTTCTGTTTCATTCTTCAATCTGTCAGATTCTAAAACACTAAATTCTCCCACTTCCCGGCCACAGACTAGCCCAGGACTCTGTGGAAGTTCATCCCTGACTGCAGAGAACCTCACATGCTTTAATGGCTCCTGCGAGTTTGGGGTAGAGTCATCTTCCAAAGAATGCTCCTTCTCAGAAATTCTCTCATGGATGGTTAGGGCAGGCAACACAATTTTGCTTTTGGGTTCCAAGTTGTGATTAAAACGAAGAGTTTCTGAGTCTGTGCTACTGGAACTGGAGTTGCGCTTGAGGATCCCTCTTGGAGTCCCCCTAGTGCTCAGGGAGTCTGTCCTTTGTCTAGGGAAAGACTGGCTATCCTCTTGGTTTAAACCATTTGATTTGTAGATCATTTTCCTGGCTTTGGGGATTGGAGCTTTAACTGGGGATCCGTTTGAAGGGTCTGGTAAAGTCTGCTTGGACTTCTCCAACATTTGGCTTGAAGTATCTAGGAGAGGTGACTTTCCTTCTGACTCTGAAAATTCACCTGAAAATGAAAACACATTAGGTAAGATATATCTATATCTATATCTATAATATGGAGAGTAATGATGCAATTTAAAATGCTATCATAAACTCAACCTATATTTAGTAAAGGTATTAATGTATTAAGGACAGTAAAGTAGGTAGTATAAGTATAGTCCTTATATGAAAAGTCTTTAAAAATCATGCACTGTGTTTTTACCCATATATAAGGACTAAATGTTAAAACCATTGATCTCATGGAGAAAGAGAGTAGAATAAAGGTTACCAAGGCCGCAGCAGGGGCAGGGGATAAAGTAGGGATGGTTAGTGGGTACAAAAAATATAGTTAGAATAATATTTCATAGTACAACAAAATGACTATAATCAACACTAAGTTACAGTATACTTTAAAATAACTAAATGGATGGAATTGGAATGTTCTCAACACAAAGAAATGATAAAAGCCTGAGGTGACAGATACCTCAGTTACCCTGGTTTGATTAGTATACATTGTATGCTTATATGAAAACATATGTGCCCTATAAATATATTCAACTACTATGTTAAAAAAAATTATTAAAAATGAATCAAGGGCAGGAAAAAGAAAAGTAAAAAAAATTACATAGAGGAACACAGATTTTTAAGGTCGTGAAATGATTCTGTGTAATACAACAACAGTGGATACATTGGATATATGCCATTATACATTTGAGTAAAATGTATAGTGGGACCCATACCAAGAGTGAACCCTGATGTAAACTGTGGGGTTTGGGTGCTAATGCTTCTCAACATAGTCCATCAATTGTAAAAACACATGCCACTCCGGTGCACAGTTGCTGGTAATGGGGAGGTTGTGACAAACAACCATGACAATGTGGGGATAGGGCATATGTGGGGAATGACTGTGTCTTTTGCTCAGTATTTCTGTGAGCCCCAACTGCTCAAAAATAAAGCCTATTTTAAAAATGCTTTCATGAACTTCACTGCTCAGTATATTTTAAGATTACTGTGCTTTACATGCTTTGTGATCTATTACACTCAAACAGACAGAAAGTTTTTTTTGTTTTTTTTTGCAGTTTTTGGCTGGGGCCGGGGTTTGAACCCACCACCTCCAGTATATGGGGCCGGCACCCTACTCCTTTAAGCCACAGGTACAACCCCAAACAGAAAGTTTTTTAAAAAAGAATAAAATGGATATTTCTCAAAGTTGTCTTTACTAAAAACATAGAAGTCATTTAAAAACTTCAGGTATTGAAATCAGAAAAGGGAAGTCAATTTTTAAAATGAAAATTCCAATACATAAAACAAAAAAAATTGTTTTTTCAAAAAGTTAAACACAAATAGCATGTTCCAGTGATTTTTTTCTTTAAAATATTTTATGCAATATAAAATGTGCACAACGGAAAATATACTATTAAAACAGGCCAACTGAGAGTCCCAGCTCCACTGTTCAACTGTTAATTTTCTAGCCCTTGACCAATCTTTTAGTGTTTATGGGTTCTTCTCAGAGTTGCTTTTAATGAGATTGAATTGTCCAGTATTTCGTCTTAACAGTGTGTAAGAATGGTAAAACCCTATACAGGCAGACTTACATCAGTTAAGCCATGAACTGGATCAAATGCTTCTGGGCAACTGAACTGATAATTTCAGATTAGAGGATTTTAACATTGTCAAGAGGCCTTTTCTTCTTGAGGCAACCTCTTTTAAACAGAATTGTGCCGGCACGTGGTAGGCATCCAATTAATATTGATAAGTGAAAGACTGACCTTGGTAAGAAAATTTCCTCATTCACTGATGAGGGAATCCAAGGACTGGAAGTCACATAACAAGCTCCAATATTAGAATGCATGAACTTCCAGTTTCAAGAAGAAACCAATGAGCATAGTAGAACAAAAAAGTCTTCAGGATTTCTCTCTTTCTCTTGGAAGTTATTTTAGTGAAAGGAACTCTGAGAATTTCCCGTAGTCCACAGATAACAAAGATAAAACTATCTCCATAAAAATAATATTTACCCTCTTTTGAAGTCTGAAATAAGCCAGCTCTTCCATTTTTTGACTGTTCATTTATCGTTTGTTGCGATGAGTGATCTTCTGGCAACTTGGAACTATTAAACGGATTATTCCTTTGCTGGGAAAAAATATTGTTTATAAAACTTATTTTAAATGTCACATGGCAACTTGGTGTTAGCAAATGCTTATAATCTCCAATTTTGATAGTTTTATCCAGTAAACTCTGGCCTGTTTGAAAAACAGTCATCCTGATTAATCTGGTTAGCACAGAATTACCACATATGCTAAATAAAACTGTAAAAATATACTTGAAGCCTGAGTACAACAAAGTTAGATCACAAACAAGCATTTAAAGCAAAATCCTGGGCTCAGCTCCCGTAGCTCTGTGGTTAGGGTGCCAGCCACATACACCAGGGCTGGCAGGTTCGAACCTGGCCTGGGCCTGCTGAACAACAAGGACAATTACAAAAAAAAAAATAGTGCCAGGGGTTGTGGCGGGTGCCTGTAGTCCCAGCTACTTGGGAGGCTGAGGCAAAAGAATCACTGGAGCCCAAGAGTTTAAGGTTGCTGTGAGCTGTGACGCCATAGTACTCTACTGAGGGTGACATAGTGAGACTGTCTCAAAAAATAAAAATAAAAATAAATAAGTAAATAAAAATCCTGGGTAAGAAAATGTGGCTCTAGGTAGACCAAAGACCTGGTCAAGGTCAAAGGAAACTTGGGTCTCTTATCAGGTCTCTTGGGATTTTTCTCCTACACCAGACTCTCATTGTGCTAGATTACACCTGTATGGAATATAATTGTAATTGATTGACACTTGAGGCATCTTAAGATTCTTCATTGTCATTATTATGCTTATCAAGTCTGATGACAAAAAGAATATCAATTAATAGGGATTTTTATTAAGACTTAATATCAATGTTTACTGTTTATAGTTTCATAAATTGGTAACTCCCTCCCAGAAGCACACCTCTTACCAAGATTTAGGAAGCTGTACATATGAATAAGGACAGACATGAGACTAACCAGCCATATTCCATAGGCTTAAAAGAAGCAGTACCCAATAGTTTCAGATTTCTTACTCTCTAGGACAGTGGTTCTCAACCTGTGGGTCGTGACCCCTTTGTAACCATGAAAATACATCAGGCACTAGGAAGGTTGAAAACCACTGCTCTAGGGCAAAAAGTCTAGGTGGCATGGTATCCACCAACTTTTTCTACCATGAGTGACTTACTACAGTAAATGGTAAAAATTATCTACGTTTTGTACCAAAAAGAGTACTAAAAAATTCTCTTTATTTTGTGATGCTTTTGATAAAATGAGAAGATAGCATTCTTGCCAAAAATGAGATTTTTTAAAAGTCTGGGCTCAATCTACCTTAGCTGGAGACACAGCTGGTTTCCTTGTGTTTTCCTGGGACATGCCAATCACAGTGGACGCTGGATTTACCACAGTGGAACTGCAAAAGAGACAATTTAGAAACTAAAACAACACCCTTCGAGGAAGCATATATCATGCCTCCCAAGCTGAAAGCTGTTAAGGCAGGCTAGAAGAGGAACATGGCTTAAAAGAAGGAGGGTT